CGCAGTTACTCAGGACTGAGGAGGCTGAGCCAGGAGGATGGCAAGCTTGAGGCCAGTCTGGGCAACTTGGCAAGACCCTGCCTCAGAATAAAAATAAAAAGGGCTGGGGATGGGAGCAACCCTGGGTTGATCCCTAATACCACCACCACCACCACACCACACACACACACACACACACACACACACACACACACATGCACACTAGGAGAAGAAGGAAAACAAGACAAGTGCCCAGGCCTGAGTTTGGCGTCCTGGTTCTGAGCCAGCTTGTTTGTCCAGTTTTGCTGGGAGCCATTAGCCAAGTAGGTATGACAATTTCCTTGCCAGCGTACCCCATGTTGCTTAGTGGAAGGACTCGTGGAAATAGGACATTTTGCAGTGACATTGCATCTAAGGTGACCTTGCTCAAGGACCAGGGCGGATCTGGGTTTAGGGTGTTTCCAGGTTTAAGGTTATTCCTGCTGGGAATAGGGCGTATCCTGCTGCCTGAGTTCCCCTTGAGTTCTCACGGGATTCAGACAGTATTTTTTGGGGGACAGAAGCCTAGTGGGGGTGGATTTGGGCAGAGAACGTGGATTTCCCCAGAACATCATTGTAGACGGCTGGTGTGAGTTCGGGAATAAAGAGTTGCTGTTTGAATCTACAAGCTGTGTGGTGGCTCGTGATTTTGTGCCCAGCCAGACTGCGGCACAGTTTTCTTTCTTTCTTTTCTTTTCTTTTTTTTTTTTAATTTAAGAGGCGAGGTCTCTCCATGTTACTCAGGCTGGCCTCGAACTCTTGGTTCTGGTGATCCTCCTGCCTCAGCCTCCTCAGTAGCTGAGGCTATTCATGCCACAAAGCCCGGTTTTATCTGCAGGTCTTCATGCCACGTTCTTCCTCCCAGCACCTCCGCCGGGTATCCCGCAGGTACTTTCGCGAGTGGAGGAGCCCCAGCCCACTCCCTGCCAACTGACCTTCCTTCCTTAGCAACTCGATTGGTAGGCCCCGGCCCCGCCCCACAGTGTAGCCCCGCCCCTCAGTGTAAGCTCCGTCCACTTGCACCTCCTCCCACCCTACCATCGTGCAGGGCAGTCTGCTCTGGGCTCCTCCCCTCGCGCTCGGGCCGCCCCTCCTGAACTGGACCACCTTCCGCAGTTCAACCAGTTGCTGGGACACCCGAGGCCCTGGAGGTCCCCTCTGCGACGCTTGTTTGGACGACACCTCTTCCTATTTTCGCCTCAGGTCCTGCATGATACCTAGCTCTTCCTCGGCATCCCCTCTGACTTGGCAGGCTGGAGTGGGGTCCTTCATGAAGCTGAGTGCCTGGGTGGCGGTCATGCTGTCAGGGCTTGGTGTCTGGGTAGAATCTCGTGCTCTCGGGAGCTGCTGACTGAGTGCGATATGCCCCTTTGTACAGGGCGTCCCCTGGGGGTCCGAACCGCAGAGCCTACAGGAAAAGGACATAGCCTTTCACCTCCCATGGACATAGCCCTTTCACCTCCCATGCGTGCTGTTCCCACAGTTCAGCCTGTAGCCCCACAGGACTCACCAGTAGCGCCCATCGCGATGAGTGGCCTGTAATGAGCCATCTGGAGTCCTCCCTGCTCTGTGCTCACCAGAGTTTCAGGGCCGAGTCCGTCTACTCCCAGGGTCAGGATCTCCAGACGACGCTCCACCATCGCCTGCACGGGGGGGGGGGGGGGGGCGCCCCGTGTCCACCGTGAGCTGCCTGGGGTCTGTTTTCACCCCATCGCCTTTGGCCCCTGGGGCGACTTCCCGCACAGATGTTCCTTATCAGCATCACTTCACTTCTGAAGCTTGGAGTTCCCACAGAGGCGGGGGTGGGAAAGCGCAGGGAGAACCAAGGGTCGAGGTCCCCAAATGCCTCCCCTTGGGAGACCCGGGAAAGACGGGAAACTGAGGCCCAGAAACGGAGCCGCTTGGCCACTTGGCGTGGCAGCAGTAGAGCCACGCACAGGCCGCCCCGGACACTGACCAGATTCAGGGCGTGCTCTCCTCCAGGCTCCGTGAGGTGGCTCCCCTCTGTCTCTAGGACAAAAGACGGCTGGTCCCGGCTCAAGAGGTAAGGCTTCCTCCGGGGTCGCTCAAATCTGGAATGACCTTGGTGGAGGGAAGAGGAGCAGCTCCCAGGAGTGAACACCAGAGGGCGCCGAACCCCGAAGGGCCACTCTCAGGGCTGTTGGGTCTGCCTCCGCCCTGGTCCAGAAGAAGGTGATGTGCAGCCTGCCCACTTGAGATTCTTTCTACCGTCTTCCCCTGAGTCCTCCTTGCCTTCTAGGCTCATCTGTCCCCGGGGACTAAACTTTCCTCCAGAAACTGGCTGGAACAGGACCCTCCCTGGGCTACTGAAACCCTTGAATGGGCGAGGGCCCAGAACCTGGATACCTGAAAACTATGGCCCCCAGCCCTAGTGGGGACCCACCAGCCTCACCATCGGTCCACCAGGGTAGACAACATGAGGCCACGCTGACTGTGCTCGTGCTCTGCTCTGTTTAACCACGTCTCCCTGCCTTCCTTGGGTTGCCTCTCATAGTCTTTTGAATAAAACCAAGACCCTTATCATGGGAGGTCCTGCTTGGTGGTTCATCCTATCCTCCCTGTCACCCTCTTGCCCATGATGTCCTGGCCAAGATGCCTTCTCCTCTGTCCTGTGAACACACCCTGTGTTTTTCTGACTCTGGGCCTTTTCTTCTCTGCTTGGAACTGGACTGTAAGCTTTTCAGGGCAGAAACTGGGTTTGAATCTGATCCATTTAGTTTGGTAACAAATGCCAGCTGTAGTGGATCTCAAATAACTTTTTACAGTTTTTTTTTCCTCCCTTATATGGGGGTCTGACTGTGTTGCCCAGGCTGGCCTTGAACTTGTCATCCTCCTGCCTCAGCCTCCTGAGTAGCCAGGATTATAAGCACACACCGTGCTTCAATAAATATCTTTTCTCCCCTTGTTCATCATCACATTCCAGTGGTTAGCAAGCCTGGCCCACAGTAGGACTAAATGATTCTTCTTCTTCTTCTTTTATTTTTTTTTTCCTTGCTGCATTGGAGATTGAACCCAGGGCCTTACATCCCCAGCCCCACCCCCTTTTAACTATTTATTTATTTATTTATTCATTTCAGTACTGGGAATTGAACCCAGGGGTGCTCTACCACTGAGCTACATCCCCAGTTCTTATTATTATTTAATGTTGACCCAGGGTCTAAGTTGCCCAGGTTGGCCTCAAACTTGGTATCCTCCTACCTCAGCCTCCAAGTCTCTGGGATTATAGGCATATGCCACCACCACTGCCACCTGAGGCTTCTGTATTAATGGATTCAGTCTTTACCACAGTCAGATGAGGTTAAAAAAAAAAATGAGGAGGGAACTATCATTATAATGTCTCATTTCACAGAAAAGAAAACAGGAGTTCAGAAAGGTTAGGCCATTTGTTGAGAGGTCACACTGCTAACATTTGAACAGGCTTTTCAACAACCTCGCACTGGAATAGAGTCGGGGAGAGGGAGTACACCACGGGACAGGTCCCAGGTGCCCGGTGATTGACGCTTTCTGTAGTGGAAGGCATTGAACTGGGCTGAGAGGCTGGCAAGACTCGCGTGAGGAGAGCATTCTAGAAGGACAAGCAAGGAACAGTGGATACAGGGGCATCTTGCTCTTGGGACAGTTCAGCGCAGAGGGCGGGGACGCTGCCACTGAGGGTCCCCAGAGGTAGCAGCCGGGACGGTGGAGAAATTAACACGCCGGCGCCCTCCGGTCCCTCCCTGCAGGCTTGGGCCGGCGCCCCCAGGGACTCTGGCCGGGCAAGACAGGACGTTCCCACGCGGGGGCGGCGCAGGCAGCGCGGGGCGGGCCGGGGGCGGCGCCCGACTCGGGTCCCCTCGCAGCCCATTCTCCGTTACTCACTGGGAGACCGGGTCGCGCTCTGCCGCCGCTGCCAGCTGCGAGGTGAGAGGGAGGGAGATCCTGGCTGTCCCAGTCCGCCCCAGCAGGTGCGGGGGGGATACGGCTCGGACCCCGTTTTCCCCGCCCGGCCAGGCCCCTGTGGTCCCTGCCCCAGAGGAGGGTCGGGGTCTCCTGGGGGGCTACCCTCTGTCCATACCTGGGGCGCTCCCCCTTCCCCCACTTGCAGATTCCCGGCTGCAGCTCCCGATGCGCGGAGCTCTCCCACCATTGATCCCTGACCCCTTAGATCACTGACCCGATAGACCCCAGTCCTTCCTTTCCAGCTGTGGGGGCGCCCCTCCCACTTATCACATACGATGTGCCCCCTGCCGCTCTCTAGTCCTGGGGCACCCCTTTCTCTCTTCAGAGATGGGATGCCCACTTCTTCTCTCCAGATGTGGGGGAACCCCTTTCTCTTTCCAGAAGTGGAATGCTTTTTTCTTCTCCCCAGATGTGCCCACCACCCCCCTCCTGCTGACCTGGTTTAGTCTCTGTCCTCTAAAGCTGTTCCCCACCCCCATGGGATGCCAGACCCTGAGACTCCCTCCAGGGGTGGGGGTGGGGCTCAGCCTGTCCCCTCCCCCACCAGATCCAGCCCAGCCAGCTCCTGTGCACGTAGGCAGGCAATTAGGGGGAAGGGCCCCCCTCCCCGGGCCATCTGTGCTGAGGCCTCCACAGATGGCCCTGTGGGGAAGAGCCTCAGGATCTGCCCTTTCCCTACCTGGACTCCCACCCAGTTTCCCCTGGGGGCAGACAGTTGAGGTGGCGTCCCCAGTCTGGCCAGGCTGAGCAACTGGCTGGCACCAGAACCCAGGCCCCAGGCACATACTGTTCAGACATAGGTGGTGAGATAGGACTCCTTACTTCTCAGTGCCTTCGAGGGATCCGCAGGTCCAGGACCCTCCAGTGTATCATCCCCTCCCCTGGGATAATATACAAAATTAGAAGGGTCAGGGGCATAAGGGTGACTTGGAGCGCTCAGACTTTCACTACAACTACTCGGGGAAACAGTTTCCTGGGCCCTGGGGCAAGAGCAGGGGGAGAACTCTTCCGTACCTGCCCAGATGCTCTCCCGAGCTGCCTGGAGCTCTGTGCTGAGAAGAGGAGGACTTGGAACTCGAGGGACACACAGCCCAGGAGGCCCTGGTAAGATCCCACCCGCTCTGTCCCAGAGTTAGGGACAGTCTGCCCGCTTCCTCCCTTGTGGCCCTGGACCTGGCCCCAATCCACTTTCCTGGATCCCATGCCTTTGTCCTGAGCCAAGTTCCTCCAGAAAATGGAGCCTCTGAGATAAGTAGATGCATCTCCCTTATTTAGGGCCCGACCCTCAGGCCCCTAAGCCTTTGGAGAGAAAGGATGCTACATCTGACCCTCCTTTCCAAGGCCTTGAAATCAGTCCTAGTCAGAAGGAAGTGTCTCTTTTTTTAAAAAAAATTATTTAGTTTTTAGTTTTAGGTGGACACAATATCTTTTATTTTAATTTTATGTGGTGCTAAGGATCGAACCCAGTGCCTCGTGCATACTAGGCAAGTGCTCTACCACTGAATCACAACCCCGGCCTAAGAAGAAAGAGTCTTAAAGCAAGAGAGACTTCAGCCACCTAGCAGAAGAAACTTTCTGACCTCAGGAGAATAATAAACAAACATGTATTGAGGCCTTAGTAGGTCCCCAAGCTGAGATAAGCATTTTATATAGATTAAGGCAATTAGACGTCACAACAACTGTGTGAGGTGGATGCTGTGCTAACTCCATTTCTTGGATGAATAAATTGAGCCCCAGTACCTCAGAAGAGCCAGGACTCCTTGTCCAAGGCAGCTCCAACACTATCCCCTTAAGGTGACACAAGTCACTCCTGTGGGCGTTGCCAGTGTCAATGAACAGAAGATCCTTTATCAAGACCATCCCTGGTGCCCAGCCTTATTCTGCATCCCTACAAGGAGCCCTGGGGGCTTAGCCATTGAGGGAGCTTCTGGGAAAGGAGGCCAGTAGAAAAACCCACCTCTGTGACTCGGTACAGTGAGCCGAGCCTCTGCAGAGAGTCGGGCACCATCTGGACCCTCAATATCCCACTTTCCAGATGAGGATTTGAGCATAGCAAAGTCAAGGGGCTTGTTGGAGTTGGGATGGATCAAACTGGGTTTCAAACCCAGCTGATTCCGAATGCGTGCCCTTGACTCCTCCCCAGGGCACGTGTTCTTCACTTTGTAGTTTCATATCTAGCAGGTTCCTGCCTCTGAGCCTTTGCCCAGCCAGGGCCTCTGCCTGACATAAATTGGGCTCCGGTCTTCCCAGAGAATGCAGGACTCGGGGCCAGAGGGCCTGAACTGCAGCCTGGGCCCTGCTCCTTCTTGCTTTGTGCATTTCAGTGAGTCACGTAGCTGCTCAGTTTATTCATCTGCAAAATGGAGATAACCCCAGCCGGGAGTGGAGGCAAATGCCTCTAATCCCAGCAATTTGGGAGGCTGAGGCAGGAGGATCACAAGTTCAAGGCCAGCCTGGGCAATTTAGGGAGACCCTGTCTCAAAAAAGAAAAAAGGAGCTGGGCACAGTGGCGCAAGCCTGTAATCCCAGCAGCTCCGGAGGCTGAGGCAGGAGGATCTCAAGTTCAAAGCCAGCCTCAGTAAAATCAAGGCTCTAAGCAATTCAGTGAGACCGTGTCTCTAAATAAAATACAAAATAGGACTGGGGATGTGGCTCAGTGGCCAAGTACTTTTGAGTTCAATCCCTGGTACCACAAAACAAAAAAGAAGAGGAAGAAAAACAAAGAAAAAAAGAAAAGAAAAAGGAAGGACCAGACACTGTGGCACACGTCTGTAATCCTAATGGCTGGGGAGGCTGAGGCAGGAGGATTGCGGGTTCAAAGCCAGCCTCAACAATTTAGCAAGGCACTTAGCAACTCAGCAAAACCCTGTCTCTAAATAAAATATAAAAAAAGGGCTGGGGATGTGGCTCAGTGGTTGAACACCCCTGGGTTAAATCCTCAGAACATCCCCACCCCCAAGGAAAAATAATAAAGGAGTTGGGGAGATGGCTCAGTTGGTAGAGTGCTTGCCTCCCATGCACAAGGCCCTGGGTTCAATCGACACAGGCTGGGGATGTAGCTCTGTGGCAGAGCAGCCCTGGGTTCAGTCCCCTGTACTGCCAAAAAGAGAAAGATGACCCCATCCTCGGCTCAGAGCCCTTAGGAGCCAGTGAACCGACCCATCCAAAGGCCTTATCCAGACTTTTGCTCAGTAAGTGCGGCCCTTCTTATTAACATCATGGTTAGAGATGGGAGTCCCGGGGCCGACTGGCACTGTCCCTCCCTGTACCGCAGCCCGTGCCCAGGGGAAGATGACCCCCTACACCAACTACTTCGCCCAGCGCTCCTACCCCATGCCCGACGAGCCCTTCTGCACCCAGCTCAACGCCGAGCAGCGGGCCCTGAAGGAGAAGGAGAAGGGCAGCTGGACCCAGCTGAGCCACGCCGAGAAGGTGGCCTGTAGGTGTCAGGGAGGGGCCGGCCAGGGAGGGAGGCCGGGTGGGGGAGGCCCCAGCGCTGGCGGCAGCCAGGTGTTCGCTCAACCTTCGGGTGCAGCCTGACGGTAGGCGGCACTGGGGACAGGAGAGAGAGATGGGATCCTGGAGGGTGCTTCCAGGTAGTGAGTGGAGCAGCGTGGGGGAAGGGCGTCATTGATGGGGTGGGGGAAGGGACGGGGGGGGGGGGGGGGGGGGGCGGGGGGGGGGGGGGGGGGCCGCGGGGGACGGGGCCGGGGCCCGGACCCCAGGAGGCGGGGGGCAGGTCCTGCCCACACAGTGCCCTGCCACCGACCCTTTGATATTCGGAGCTTCTTAGTGTCATTCCACAAATGGAGGAGCTCACCTGACCCCCAACTTTTCAAGGCTCAAGAACTTGCTGCTCAATTCATCTTCACACATCAACTTTTTCTTTAGTACCAGGGATTGAACTCAGGGCGCTCAACCACTGAGCCACATCCCCAGCCCTAGTCTGTATTTGATTTCAAGATGAGATCTCGCTGAGTTGCTCAGGGTCTCACTAAGTTGCTGAGGCTGGCTTTGAACTGGCGATCCTCCTGCTTCAGCCTTCAGAGCTGCTGGGATTCCTTGTGGGTCACCACCCCCGACTCATCGGTGTCTTACTGACCACCTACTACGAGCCAGGCGCTGGGCACGTGGCTGGTAGCAAGGCCGCTCCATTCTTGCCCTGAAACCTCACATTTCCGGTTCTCTCCCCTCAGTTCTTTTCCCAGTCCTCTCAGATCTCTCTCTCCTTCTTTTCCCCTCCCTCCCTCCCATCCCTCTTTCCATTTCAGAAACCGACATTCCTCCCCCATCCTAAAGCACAGAGCACCTGCTGCACACTCAGGGTGCAGCCAGCTGGGAAGGCAGGTCCTCTCACCAGCTCACCCTTGAGGAGAGAGGCTCAGGGTGGTGGAGTCCCTGGCTGAGGCCGCACAGCCACAAGGGAGGGAAGGAAAGAGAGAAGGAGAGAGAGCACAGGAAGAGGGGTCAGCCTCCTTCCTAAAGTCGCCCTGAGGTCAGGTCTTTGAATGCTTTTTTTCCCAGAAAGAACCTGCGTTATGCAGAAGTAGTTCCTGGGGTTGGGAGTGTCTTGCCTAGTGTGTTGGGGGCCCTGGGTTCCCTCCTCAGCTCTGCAAAAGAAAAAGAAAAGAGGAGTTCCTGGAGCCCCCTGCTCTCCTGTGCACTCTCTTCTTTCACCCGACAGCACCCTGGGCCTAAGAGCTCAGGTGTCCCTGCGGGCAGCTGGCTCGGTCCCAACCTGCCCACCTCCTGACAACTAGGCTAGATCCTATGTCGAGATACCTACCCGTGGCTACTTCACAACTGGTAGAAGACAGGTTAAGCAAAAATAAAAGTTCTGAGTTTTAAATACATTTAAAATATACATATAAAAAGAATCTCCTCTCCGTCAACCGCTGTTCCAGGTGCTGGGATCTAAGAGTGAAGAGTGGGTCCTTGTCCCCCTGAAGCTTAGAGTCAAGTAGGAAGGATAAGCAGTAAATAAGAAAGTAGAGAATAAAAACATTCTTCAGTGTGAGGGAAGCGAGGGTCGGTCCTGATAAAAGTTGGGTTAAATAAAACCACAGCTTTGTCACCTCCTTTCCTACAGTCTGTCCTCCCCAACTCAGAATGAAATCCAAACTCCTGTCTGTGGCTGGCAAGGTCCTGGGTGATCTGGCTGCTGCTGACACCGGATTGCAACACTTTCTCTTCTGTAGTTCATCCTACTGCAGCCACAATCCCCTTCACTCACCCCTTCCTGCCTCAGGGCCTTTGCACTAGCTGCTGGTTCTTACTCCACTCCCTTTGATTTCTTCAAGCCTCCGCTCTAGTGTCACCTCCTCTGAGAGACCTTCTCTGACCACTCTAACTGAAGTAGCCCTTGCCCACAGTCTGTCTGAAGATTTGCCATTTGTGTCCCGGCCCCAAGCTCCACAAAGGCAGAAATTTTCAACCAGCTTATTCAGTGCTCCATCACCACTTCTTGGCCACACTTTGCATGTAGTACAATCTCAATAAGCATTTGCTGTGTGGTGGCGCACACCTGTAATCCCAGCAGCTCTGGGGGCTGAGTCAGGAGGATCGCTAGTTCAAAGCCAGCCTCAGCAACTTACCAAGGCTCTAAGTAACTTAGTGAGGCCCTGTCTCAAAATAAAAAATAAAAATAAAAGGGCCTGGGATGTGGCTTAGTGGTGGTAGAATGCCCCTGGATTCCATCTCCAGTACTGGGAGGGGAGAGGGGGATTTTCCAGATAAATGGCATTTGCTGGAGGAAGGGGGAGGTCAACTCTTGGCTCAGGGTCTTTGAAATGGAACCCCTTCCCTGCACCCCACTTGCTCCCAGTGTACCGGCTCCAGTACCACCAGACCTTCGCGGAGATGAACCGGCGCTCCAACGAGTGGAAGACGGTGATGGGCTGCGTCTTCTTCTTCATTGGGTTGACGGCCCTGCTGATTTGGTGGCAGCGTGTTTACGGTGAGTGGCTGCAAATGTGGGCCATGCCCGTGTGGCCATGGCCACTGGCCAAACCCTTACGGAAGGCATGTTGTGACTCAACTGAAAACTTGAAAAGTCTCCAAAGAGGTGGAGGGTGAAGGACAGAACGTGGCTGCCCTGGATGAAATGTAGGGACTCTACCTCTAAAGGCCTCAGGTTCCTCATCTGTACAATGGGAATAATAACGCCCATGTCTCAGTGTTCTTGTGAGGATTAATGAGAGGGACTTGGGCCAGTGCTTGCCACATGGTCATGAGGGTGTTGTTACTGATTTTCTGTGTATTAACCATGTAGATTCCAGTATGTTGTTTCAGCTGCTGTAACAAAGATCCCCAGCATAAGAACTTAAGCAGTATAGAGGTTTATTCCTTTATCACAAAATGAGGCTAAAGATATAATTCAGAGGCTGGTTTTGGGGTACACACCTGTAATCCCAGAGACTTGGGAGGCTGAGATAGGAGGATCGCAAGTTCAAGGCCAGCCTCAGCAAGAAGCTGAGCAAGACCCTCAATGGCTTAATAAGACCCTGTCTCAAAATAAAAAAATAAAAGGGGCTGGGGGAATGTAGCTTAGTGGTAAATTGTCCCTGGGCTCAATTAGGGGAAAAAAAGAAAGAAAGAGAAAAAAGAAAAAAGAAACAATCCAGGTGAGTATTGGGACTCCACAAAGCAGGCTCCTTCTGACTAGTTTCTCTGCCATCTTTAACATGTAGCTTCCATCTTGACACACAAGATGGCTGCTCAACTCCTGCCACCTCTCCTTGCATCCTATTGGCTAGAGGTGTTCACATGATCCTGCCTAACTACAAGGGAAGCTGGGATATGTAGTCTTTTGTTGGGTCTCATGTGTCCAGCTGAGGTTTTATTATCTCAGAAGAATGGTTCTCTGAATGTCCCTGGACGGACAGCCCCACCGGCAACCTTGCTGGACATGTGCGTTCCCAGCCCCCTCCAGATCTACTGAGTCGGACTCTCGGGGTGGAACCCGCCCTCCCTGCCCTGGTCCCTCTCTCCTTCCTTCTCTTTGTGGTACTGGGAAGCTGACCCCAGGCCTCGCCCGTACTGGGCTCCAACACTGGGCTCCACCCGCAGCCTGTACTCCTCTTAGAACAGCCCCCTGGCTGGTTCCGAGGCTCTCCCAGGCCTGAAGCCATTGCTCTGGACAAAAGGGTGAGGACATTGAGGAAGCCTGGCATCCACCCAGTGGCCTGGCCTGGTTTCCTGTGTGACGGTGTGATGGGAATTCCCGGCCTGCATGAAGGTGAAATGAGACCGCCTCTGGGACTGTCTGGTGTGGCCAATGTGGCACATAATAGGTGCCAGTGAAGACAATGCCTTTCCTTCCCCTCCCTGGGATGGAAGCACCAGGGATGGAGGCCAGGCAGCCTAGGTGGGCTGTAGAGGCAGCTGGGCCAGAGAGGAGAAGGTTGGGAGTGTGGCCCCAGGACCTCCCGACCCACACTTGTGCCCGTAGTTTTACAAATACTAACTCACTGGATCCCCACAACCCTTGAGGATAGGACCTGTTTTTGAACAGGTAAGGAATCTGAGGCTCAGAGAGGTGAGGTGACTTATTGACTTATTCAAGGCCACACAGCAAGGGAGTGGTATAGCTGGGATTTGGATTCAGTGGTCTTCAAATCAGTGCGCCTACTACCATTGGCTACAGAGGTAGGTGAGGACCCAGAGGCTCAGGCTGGGGAAGGACCTGACCCAGTTCCTACTGTGGGTCAAAGGCAAGGCTGGGATTAGAACCTGGAGGTCCCTGGAGTGATGCTGGTGGGGGCCAGATAGGAAGAGGGAGGTCCTCAGAGCAGGGCCCCCGACCCTGGGGCTGGGGCTGTGGCTTGGAGGAGCCCTGGGACAGCTGGATCCTGAGCCACGGCTGTCCTGCCCTGTGCCCTCTCCACAGTGTTCCCTGAGAAGCCTGTCACCCTGACGGACGAGTGGAAGGCCCAGCAGCTTCAGCGCATCCTGGACATGAAGGGCAACCCGGTGCAAGGCCTGGCCTCGCGGTGGGACTACGAGAAAAAGGAGTGGAGGAAGTGAGGCCTGCCTGCCCTGCCTGTCAGGTCTCTGCCCCTGCAGCGGCCCCTGGCCACAGCCTCCAGCGCCCCTCCCACCCCTCCCCTGAGCTCCAATAAAGCTGGCCTCTTCTCTTCCACCTCGAGCCTCCACCTGCCTGTACCTGGCGCCTAAACTCAGGCGCGGAGAGATGAGAACAAGCCCCCTCGAGGGCCCAGAGCCTGGCGATCAGGGAGGGCTTCCTGGAGGAGCAGGGGGCTCTGGCCGGACCGGGAAAGGCAGGAAGAAGGGAAGACATTCTAGGGAGAGGGGATGGCAAAGGCAGGGGTGTGCACTCAGTCAGTCAGTAAATGTTTATTGAGCACCGACTGTATACTGGGTCCTTTTTTTTTTTTTTTTTTGGTACCAGGGGTGCTTAACCACTGAGCCATGACCCGAGTCCTTTTTATTTTTTATTCTGAGGCAGGGTCTCGCTAAGTTGCTGAGGGCTTCACTAGGTTGCTGAGGCTAGCCTCAAACTTGCAATCCTCCAGTCTTAACCTCCTATGCCGCTGGGATTAAGGGATTCACCACACCTGGCCCCTGGCCATGTCCTGGGTACTCATTCAGACCCTGAGGGTGCAGCAGTGCACAGTGGAGGCTCCAGGTTCCATAGGAAGGAAGGAAGGGGAGACGGAGGGAGGGCCACACCCCTGAGGTGGGCTTGTGTGTTTGTGGACCTTCGAGGAGGCTGCCCTGACAGGAGCACCCTGGGAGAGGAGGCCAGGCGGGGGGCGCTGGTCTTGGGGCAAAGAGCGGAGCCCACAGAGGCCCAGGGATCCTCTCCCTGGTGTGATGGGAGCTGTGTCAGGTTGGGGCCTCTGAGGAACAAATGCCCAGATCAACCATGCGAGGAGATTTGTGGGAGGCAGTGCCCGTGAGGGACAAGGACAGGGGGGTGGCAGTAGGTGGGGAGAACCTTCAGACCGTGGTTCTAGTCTGAAACTAGCCTCAGACTGCGGGGCATCTCTATCTGTCCCAATCCAATCAGGAGACAGGAACCACAGAGCCACCCAAACAGAGGCTGCTTAATACAAAGCATCATGCAGCTCACACAAGAGGGTGACTCTCAGGCCAGGCCCGGTGGTGCAGGCCTGTAATCCCAGCGGCTCCGGAGGCCAAGACAAGAGGATTGCGAGTTCAAAGCCAGCCTCAGTAAAAAACGAGGCCCTAAGTGACTCAGTGAGACGCTGTCTCTAAATAAAGTACAAAACAAGGCTGTGGCTCAGTGGTCGAGTGCCCCTGAGACACTGGGGATGTGGCTCAGTGGTCGAGTGCCCCTGAGATCAATCCTTGGTACTTCACCGGCCAAAAAAGAAGGTGACTCTTTACAGAGAACTTTAAAAGGTACCTTAGGTGTACCAAGGAAGGATCAATTTGCCCTCCCCACCCTGGGATCTAGACCTCCCAGGAGACGTGTGGTTTGCAGCCCACAGGTTGGTGGGAGGTTGAGGTGCGCCAGGGGTGGGGCTGAGGCTGGTGGGTGGATAGGTGGAATCAGGGCACGTTTGTGCAGGCAAAGCCCAAAGTGTGTGTGTCAGGAGGATGGCAGGAGGGTGGTCCCCAACAAGAGGCTTAAGAGGCACACTGGGCTCGTGGGGGGTTAGATGAATTTTAGAACGAACACACACACACACACACACACACACACAAGCCGCCCGTCCTTCGCAGCGCCCTGCAGCGCCCTCTACCGGCAAAGCTCAGCATCTCCCTGTAGAGGAGACGTGCTCGCGGCCTCGTCCCGGGTAGGTGGAGCAGGAACTGAGGAGTGAATCCGGAGCTGAGACGCCGCCAGTTGATACCTTGTACAACTACCGAGGAAGTCTTGGGGAGGTCAACAGGGAGCCCCAGAGCCCGTGCTGCCCATCAGAGGAGTGTGGCATTGGGCCCAACTGCCCCGTCCCCGTGACCCCGCAGGGCTCAGTCCTTGACGGGGAGCCGCCCAAGGGGTCCTAGCCTCCGCAGCCGGGGTGGTCCTACATCAATCTTTTGAAGACAGATCTGAGAAGCACAGCCCTTGGACACACTAGATGCCAAGGGAAGGACTTGGCAGAGCAGTTGTGGCAACATTCATTTGATCAATATTCATTGATCATTATGTACCCACTGTGTCCCAGGATCTGGGGATGGAGTGAAGGAGACCTCAGTCCAGTCTCATGACTTCCAGTCCTTGTGAATATGAAAGTCTGAAATGGGAAAAGAGACATCAACCAGAGGGTGGCTTTAATAAATTGTAGCACAACTGTGTGCTAAGTGGAGGTTCATGGTACTTGGACTAACCAATTGAGGAACTGACGGGGTGTGGAGGAAGTGTCCTCTTTCCTGAAATGTGAAAGATGAGCCAGGGGCAGTGGTGCACCCCTGTAATCCCAGCAACTTGGGACGCTGAGGCAAGAGGATCATAAGTTCCAGGACAGCCTCAGCAAATTAGTGAGGTCCTAAGTAATTTAATGACATCCTGTCTAAATATAAAAAATAAAAAAGGGCTGGGGATGTGGCTCAGTAGTTCAGCATTCCTGGGTTCAGTCCCTGGTATTAAAAAAAAAAAAAGAGCTTGGATGTAAACTGGGTGAGGGGTAGGAGACAGCATTCCAGGTGGAGAGAAAAATCATATGCAAAGACCCTGTGGTAGTGAGGATCATGGCATAAGAAATAAAGGGAGTCCGTGGAGCTGTCACACCAAGAGGAAAAGGAAGAGATGAACCAGGGAAGGTGGGGAGCAAGAGACCATCCAGGTCCTGGAGGTTTGGTGCCTCTGCCAAAGAGATGAGTTCGGAGGAAAGCAGAGAAAGGACAGGAAGATGGATCTGGAGGACATTGGGAAAAAAGTATGGGAAACCTTGAACATTAATTTAATTTATCTGAGAAAGCAGCTTTCTTGGCCCCAGGCTCTATCTGCCTTGAGTGGAGAGATGGCAGGGACACAGAGAAGAGAGCAGTAGGGGACCTTCCTGCCAGCTCTCCCAGCCTGTTGGGTGGACATGAGAGTCAGAAGGTAATGAGGCAGAAGCTACAGAAATATTCAGAAATGTGTTCCAACCTGGGTGTTTTGTTTCAAGTTCTTTTGCATAACTAGGGACTGCGCCCGTGCATGCCTGGCGAGTGCTCTACCACTGAGCTACACTCCAGCCCCTAAGTGTTTTCTATGTAGGTCTTGCTTCTGCATAATGGTATTTTATATCTACTCTTTAAATTGGTGCATTATAATTATACACAATGGATTCATTGTACCATATTTGTACATGCACAAAACAACTTGATCAATCTCATTCCCATACCTTCCCTTTCACTTCCCTTCTCCCTCCCCTGATCATATCTACTCTTCTTTGAAGGTTAGTTCACATTCTTTTTTAAAAAATTTTAAATATTTATTTATTTTTTAAAAGTTTTCGGAGGACACAACATCTTTGTTTGTATGTGGTGCTGAGGATCGAACCTGGGCTGCACGCATGCCAGGTGAGCGCGCTACCACTTGAGCCACATCCCCAGCCAGTTCACATTCTTTCATCTTAGTACCTTCATACTACTTTTTTTTTTCAGTACTAAAGATTGGATCAGGGACTTCCTCAATGGCCTCAATGGAATTTACTCACCTCTTCAAAGGCTCTATTCCCCCAAAACAGTCACATTCCCAGGTCCTGGAGGTTAGAATTCCAATGTAGGAATTTGACGGGACATGATTCAGCCTGTAGTTGGCTTCAGGCTTTTTCCCTGTGTCTCCATGGTGTGGGACCAGCGGGCACCTAGGGCATGTTCTTCTCATGGCAGAAGACTTTGAGGAGGCAGAGGGACGAGTGGGGACCCTCTTCATGTCCAGGCTTAGACTAGCGCACAGAGAAGTAGCAGTAAATCCACCAACCACAGCACTCTAGTGAGGGTGGCTGCGTTACAGACCACCCCAGAACACACGGAAGAGCACGAAACAACCGTTTTGTTCTGCTCAGAGATTCTGTGGGTCAGGAGTTCTGATGGGGTACGGTGGAGACCACTTAGGTCTGCTAAGTGGGGCTTCATCTGGAAACACTCAAAGGCCGTGCCAGAACTGTCTGGGGGGTGTTTCACTTACACATTGGGTGGTTGACGCAGGCTGACATCGGGGACCTCAGCTGGAAGTGAGTTCAGTAGGAATACCTCGTGTGGCATCCAGTGGTCTCTCTGTAGGGGCTACTTTGGGCTCCCTCAAAGCATGGTGGTGGTTGGGTTCCAAGAGCAAGTGTCCAAAGAAAGCCAGGAGGAGAGACATTGCCTTTTTATATTCTAACTTCAGAAGACACATAGCATGACTTCCCTGAGCCCCAGAGGTCCACCCAGGTTCAAGGGGAAGAGGACATGGATCCCACTGCTTAGTATAAGGACATCAGGATCACAAGACTTGAGATGCTTGTGAATGGTCATCTTTAGACAATATGGTCTGTCGCTCAAGGTCAAGCCCAATTTTTTTTTTTTTGAGAGAGAACTTTAATATTTATTTTTTAGTTTTCGGCGGACACAACATCTTTGTTTGTATGTGGTGCTGAGGATCGAACCTGGGCCACACGCATGCCAGGCGAGCGCGCTACTGCTTGAGCCACATCTCCAGCCCTCAAGCCCAATATTAACAGGCAGAGAAATAGCTTCCCTGTGGAGGATTCATGACAAGCGTGAGGAAAGCAGCCAGATACAAGCAAATAATAAAGCCTATCACAGATGTGCAGAGAGAGTCAACATAATATCGAGTTGACAGGGTTTTTAAAAGATAATTATGGGCTGGGGTTGTGGCTCAGTAATAGAGTGCTTGCCTAGCATGTCCGAAGCGCTGGGTTCGATCCTCAGCACCACATAAAGATAAATAAATAAGTAAATAAATAAATAAAACTGATTATCATTTTTTTTTATTGTGCTCGGGACTAAACCCAGGGTCCTACATAGACTAAGAAAGCACCCTATAATTGGCTGGAGATGTAGCTCAGGTCGTAGAGTGCCTGCCTTGTATGTACAAGGCCCTA